AGGAGAGAGAGAGAGATAGAGAGATGACCTTCAAACCAGGTGTGAGCTCGTTCATGGTGATGGCAAAGCTTGTCAGGTTGTACCTGGTTGGGAATTTTGGGGGTTTGCTCCGTTTCCAAAGCAACCGGGTCTCAGGCAGGGGTTCGGACCCTTTGCCCTTTCCTGCGCAATCACCCATCGCATAATGCATGCTCTCATCCCATTTCCCAAACAATGTGGCCACTGTTTTCCCATTCTTGTCTTGCACTATGCCTTGGACCTGAAATATAATGCCCAACATTTTTAACCAAATTTCTTTCATAGTGCCAAAGAAAGATATAACCTCTTTTTGATAATCAATAGCATCCGCAAGTATCATCTAACTAGTTGACAGTCTAGCAAGACAGCCATAGCGTTACCCTATATGCAATAATCAAATAATTGTACATAAATGATCGGAAATGATTTGGCACGGCCCTGCTGCACCAGAACACCATGTGGTCGCGGCTCCCTCCCCCTCCCAACTCACACCCCACCAAAAAAAAAAAACATCTTTTTGATGGATTGAGGACCCATAATACCTCCTTAACCACTGAAAATACATTTCTGCCCCAAAAAAATGGATTTCGAGCTCCTGAAATGGTACATTTCTGGTAGATCTAGGATCCATCAAAACGGACGGTCCAGATTAGATGTTGAGTTGGCAGTCAAGATGAGCCATTTTCAGGGCTCCAAATCCATTCCTACTCAGGATTTTGATATTGAAGATGGATCTGCAGATCTTTTGGTCCTAATCGATATTTTTGATGAACTTCAAGGGAAGAGGGTGGAGCACGGTTCTTGGTACAGCCGAGGCTGTGCCAAAACCAGACGCATAGATGATTCATTGTGGAATTGCAATAGGAAAATAGAATAAAGATAGTCCCCTGCAACTTCAGGCCTGGACCTCTAGTTAATTTGCTAATCCCAAAATTAGGGAGCCCCCAACCCACTCACCCACCAAAAAACAAAAGAACCAGATATAGCGACCCCCCTCACGAACCAAAACCTAAAAAAAAAAAAGGAACAGAGAGAGAGAGAATGAGAGATTGCTCATACCTGGTGAGGGTTTCGATCTATGATGGATTGCTCCTTGAACTTAAGCTTGCATGAGTACTCCAGGTTTCCCTGTATCCTCATGGTACCATAGTGATCGCAGTAAAGCTTCCCCAATATGAGGTTGTAAATGGATGTCGTAACCTGAATTAGATAAATTTATGAGACAGAGAAAGATAATGAGAAGAAAAGTAATGGGTCAAATAAATAGACACAAGGAAAACATAGAAACCTAATGAGTTAGATAAATTAATAAGGATAGAAAAAACAAAGAGAAACAAGGCTATAATTAGAACTGTTCAGTTTTCAAACCTTACTCCAGTGAAGCACCTCTCCATCATCAAATTCAAGAGTTAGGACCCCAACAGGATCTAGCTGAATGGAACGACCCCAGAACTTACTTTTGAGGTTGCTATCTCCCCAAAATTTCCAACCTCTACCTTCACAGTGGCATGCAACAATCATAGGATGATGACTGACCTGTAGTTGAGTGGTAAGTTCTTGACTTAAGCATTTGAAGTTTAAGAATGAAGCAGCTTGAAGAATAAAGCTTAACAAGAATCAATTAGAGAATAATTAACAAGAATCAATTAGAGAATAAAAAGAGGGACAAGAAGAAAATGAAGCAGTAACTGCAAAATACAGCAAGAAATAATCATCAACAACATTTCTTTTTAGTGTATGTTCATGTGCGTGTGTGTCACACCAGAAATCTTACTTTATGTATATGGAAGTAAACAAAATAACCAACTTATTCACCAGTTATATGTGGACATACAGGAGAAGACAATCATGATTGCCAAAACTGAAACCATAAAATTGCTTCCAGGTCTGCCTAAGGTAAATAATTTTCAGACAAACACTACTCCTACTCTACAGTGGTATGCTACTACAAAGTCACCCACAATAGTTAGCTTGGAAATAATTATATTATTGTAACATCCTTCACCCACACAGAACATTTGTATTTCTAATAATATCATTAATCCTGGTAAATGAACCATCCAGCTATGCATTTTTTTACCTATTTTCTTGATAATTATGAGTCATAGCTTACTCATCACTGGGTTAGACTGCACCATACCCAAGCCTGCTAAAATGATGGTGGTTTTATTGGTCCTTGATTCAGCCACCTCATACAAGCCACATCTCCTGCAGACAGGCATCTTGGCAGGTTTAAGGGAACTTGGAATAAGTGGAGCCTTAGAATCTTCAATGAACCCTATCAAATTTTGGGGCCCTCCAAAATCAAAGACTAAATCATTGGCAGGGAATTAGTAAGAAGTTCAGGGGTTTCAGGGAACCAGATCTCATTGGAGAGTGGAGATTGTGTGTTCTTACTTCTCAGAGTACGGCAATCCTGTATCCTAAGATTTTATGGGAACACCACATGAACCAAAGTGATGAAGCTTGAGTTTGAAGGTTTCTCTCAATGGAAAGCACGCCCATTGGGGGCCTGTGGTTGATTTTGAACAGTAATCAACAGATTGTGAAAGGCTCCTCCATCCCTTTTATCTCTTTGCAACTACTCATAGGAAGTGTCTGTGGTCCTCAGTGTTTTTAAGATATTCTCTCAGCTTTCTTCAGGCCCGTTGAGCATTGAGAGATCTCCATCAATATCATCAGATGGACACAAGGCAAAACAACAGTTTCCTGGCTTCTAGCTGTTGCTCTTGGTAAGAAATAACTCAGCCCTCCCTGCCTATGGTGCCAGATAATCGGTGCCATATCTGTCTTGGATACTCCAAAAATGTATGTCAAAATCACAAATACCCTTGCCCACAGCTGCATGCATAGCATAGCTCCCAACTCTCTATATGTCACATCTATCAGTTTCCAAACGCAAACCACTGTACACAGTCTACCATACCTCATATGACACCTTTCCTGGAAAGGTAAAATACTAAGATAATAAGGATATTTAGGTGGGAAACGAAAAGACATAATCACCATATATTGATGCAAGGAGAAAAGGTGGAAATTGAATCCACCCTTTCCCTGAATTTCAAACAAGTAAGATCAACAATAATAGAGAAAGAACATGACTGTAAATCAAGACAAGAGAAGAACTTTCTTCTTTCATAAAATAAAATTTATTCCAATAACATATGCCCCCTAAAATATGACACCCAACCTTTTATATGCTTATGAAACCCTAATTTAACTTGAGATCCAAGTAAACATTTAAGACTCTAAAATATCCATAAAACAATACTATATAATTTCAAAATACCCTTAAGAACAGTAACATGTAAACAGTAACACGTGAATAGTAATATGTGAACAGCAACTGTGAACAATACCATAAATAGTACTTGTGAATAGTAAATAAAAAATAAAAAACCCTCGAATCCCTAAAAGACTAGAAAAAACCAAGAAATAAACCCTAAAACTAAAACTATAACTACAATATGCATCCTTGAAATTGACTAAAAATACAAAATAAAAAGAATTTTGCCATCCATCTGATATGCAACCCGTCCTCTCCCATAGTAATATTTTCTATCCATTGAAGTAAGCATTCCATGGAGCATTTAGCACAATAAGTAAATAGTTCAGGCATCAGCAACTAAGAAGATTAACTTCTTTCATTTTTTGGCCTTCAAATCCATATCACAAGTTGCAAGCAAAATATACCTTCTCTGAGAAGAAACGAAGGCCCCTGTCAGGATAATCAGCTTCATATGTTTCTCCCAATAGTGGATTGAATGGCTTGCAATTCCTTCCATCTGTAGAAGCATATCCCGACACTGCGAATGCTGCAACATTCAGCATCCTCATCAAGCTGTTCCCCTGCAATATTCCATCAGAGCAAAGAGATGCAATGAACTTTTTTATGCCAATTGGACTATGATTTTAGACCAAAATTCCAGAAAGAAACCACTTCTTCCAAGGAAATCATGATAACATGCTGGCCCCCAAATAAACTAAAAACGGTAACCAATGAGAAAATGACTATATACAAGTCTAAATGGATCTTGAAGATTGTCTATCCAATGGGATGAGCCAAATATCTTTCACTGCAATTAAAAGTCATCACACAGTTCATCTGCGTCATGAGATTCAACGAATTGAATATGTTCCACTTCCTTTTGTAAACTTTCAATTGAACTAAAATGTCACAACATTAAAGGACTAGGAAGGCTGTCAGCTGCAAAGGAGTAGAAGAAATAATATGAAAACATAAATTTGATGTATTGTGAGAAAGAATGAGTAGCATTAACCTTCTCATATACCATCATCATCATCATCCAAGCCTTATCCCACCTATTTGGGATAAGGCTCAGAAGATGATGATGATGACATATGAGAAAGTTGCTGCTCATTCTTTCTAAGAATACAGCAGCAAATCACTGCTAACCAATCCAGACCTGTATAAAGTCTAAGAGCAAGTTGGACTTAGTGTCATGACAATTTGATCAAGTGGTCAAAGACACTTGTCAGAATGCTTGCACAACCTCTGGAGGGGCCATTAAGGAGAAGGAATACAGGAATTAAGTTCTTATGCTGCTACTCCAACAGTGGTAAAAAAATTGATACATAAACCTCAACAATCATTATACAGAGACCTCATCAGGTCCTATAGAAAATGGAAAACATGGTTAAAATCAATGGCATAAAATCTCTCCAAACAAAATTCTGTATGGAACAATAAGTACAACCATTGATCAACACTCAGGCACTTTTTATATGAATACCTCAATATAGCAACAGTTAGATCCAGCAGATTATAGATCCGAAACTAAGTACAGAAGAACTAATTCCAGTTACAAACAACAATGATTATCTCATCTGTGGGGGCAACTGCATTAGCCATGTGATAAGCAGCATATTTCAAATATCTTAACATAATTTACTTCGTTCCAAATTGAATTTTCACAAATGATCAATATAGGGTAGAGCTGCCCCTTTTTTCTTTTTGTTTCATTTAACATGTTCAAGTGGGAAAGGCACAACAGCTGCGAGAAATCTACTTAGTCCCAGATTCCTATTTGATCAGCATCGATGTTGAATTCCAAGAACGCCTCACAAACCCTATATGCACAACCATTAGGTTATTACTCAGTTAAGGGTGATGGACATATAATAATCTCTAAAGGGGGATGAGACGTATTGTAGGTGGAGCCTTCTCATATAAACCTCTAAGAAGGCTGATCTCCACTATCCACCCATAAACCCTGATAGAGGTTAACCAAGGTTGAAGTGATACCAGTAACAATGAAACCAAGGTTACCAATTTTATATGGATGGCAGATGATGGACATGACCACCTCCTGAATTTTATCTGAGAATATTCACATACAATATACTCTAATGGAAGATTCCTTTTGCCTCATGTTGAAGGTCAAAGCACCAAACTGCAAAGTCTACGCAAATCCCCACATCAAATTACACCCACTAGCCTCCCTTGTATGATAGGAAGACAACCAAACCATTCCCATGTTGCAGCAGGCAACATTAATCACACAAAATGCATTAGAAAAAAGGAAACAACACACATGCAGCTTAATCAAAAAACAAACTGGTGCAATCTTCAGAAGCCACTCACCTGCAACAGACAAATAATTCCAACAATAATAAGCACTAAACCAATATCCATGTTTACATCTCATTAAATTAATATTATATGTTAGAACCTCAAAACCTGGGTCAATAACGATAGGAAAACACATAGTAACTAGAGAGGGCTCTGCAAAAGAGGAACAACAGGGAAAGATGATATTCATGTCACAACCAATGATTATCAATTAATTATATGGTTTCTAGCAGAAAACCCTCGATTAGGACAACATCCAAATAAACAAAACGTAACTATAAGCCATAATAAGTGAAGTAGGCCTCACATCTAAGTCAAATAAATAATTATTTTCCATATAAAATTTTCAGTTATACCTAAACAAATAAAACTTCGTAAGACTGCCCTCCTTAGAGGCAGGTACAACTAGACAGATCTACCAGTGATGAATATAAGGATATTGCCTCATCATAAAGTAAATCTGAGGCTGTGACTCATGTAGTTTCAACACCTAAATATTGTCTACAGTAAAACAGAGGGAAACAGAAAAAAACTGCAAACAGGGACTACGAAGCCCACCCAATGACAAGTGCTAAACATCTTATCCTGGGTTCCTCAATAGAAAGGAAAGATTCTCCAATATCATTACCTAGTGGATGCCTAACACAATAAACCTTGCGAGGGGGATGCAAAAGAATCTTCCTTTACATACCAAAAATGAAAATGGCCACATACCTAGATTATAAAAAATACAAGCCATATGAAACAAGTAGCTGCATCTTGAGGTATTTTCTGCAGACTTACCCGTTTTCCCCATTCATAAGCCCGATCAAGGAGATAAGAGTACTCCAAATCTTCAAAACATTTCTGTAAGGAAGAAAGAGGCTCATTGAAGTACACAGGAAGGCACACTCTTGTAAGATCCTTCCCAATGTTGTCCTTTATCATGGACCAGAGACTTACTCCTTTCTCTTTCTCAACTGGGTGAGGTAGTTTCTTCCTCCTCCTCACATATGGATAATTAAATCCCACAGACCGCATGGAAGGATCAGTACAATCATCAGAATCTACAGGATAAGTCTCTTCGTCATCTGAATCACACGATGATCTACGAAATTCAGAGCCACTACTTTTAAAAGAACTTGAGGAAAGGAAGTCACGAGTATCAAAAAAGGTGTTGTCATCTTCATCGGTTTCCTCTTCCGCAGCATCTTGCCTTTCATTGTCATCCTCAGACTCTGTTGCACTTCCTTCTGGAAACCCAAATACCACAGGAAAATAAGACTCAAAATTTTAAATAAAAATTACTGCAGGAGACAACAATAGTCAGTGGATTTTCTACAACATAAAAAGATTTTCAAACCATTAGCAAGCAAGTAAATGAAAAAATGCAAGCTGAATAGTTCTTAATTAGCTATTGTTAAAATAGGATAATATTCTTAACATAAAAAAGAGTGTGCCTTTGTGGTTTCATTTATTTGTATTTTTAAGGTCTCTGGATTTAAAGCCTTTATCAAATCCATATAAGCACTACCAGATATTATCACAAAAAAGAAAGCACCAATTTATTGGCATATGCTCTCATTTAAGCAAGTTTCTAAAGCAATGTACTAATACCAGACTAGATATGTCAGACTATGAAATGCGGCCTCACCAGTCAGCTAGGCATCCTAAACTAGTGGTGCGATGGAACTGGCATATGCCTAGACCAGCCAGTTCAACCAATCTAGTCCAAACGTGCCAATCCCGAAATTAACAATCATAAAACCAGATAAACAAGTACTCCAAATTTTCGTGCCATTTTTGCCATTTTTACCCTTCTTTACACTCATTCTAAGGGCATCTTGATCCAAACCAACATTTAGATAGGTTTTGGGGATTAAGATACACTATTTAGAGAAAGAGATCAAGATTGGCAATTTTGCTTCCCCCCCTCTCTCTCTCTCTCTCCATGAAATCCTAAATCCCAAGGCAATTTCCCATCAACCTTTGGTAAATCTCCAGCCACTTCTTTGAGAGCTTATTTAACCGTCCAAGTAAGTACATTACTTATTTTTTCATTTGCTTGACTTAGTCCTAGAAAAGTTAGAAAAAGATGAGTTTAATGAAGTTTTCTGAAAAACATTGTAATAGATTTTGTTTTAGGGATGTGTACTGGGTCTATTATAGTCCTTAGATTGGTTTTTGTTTTTTGGGTTAAGTGTTATAAGTTTTGGGTGGATTTTGTGTATTTTTATGATTTGGATGATCTGTTTTGGAGGTTTTTTGTGTATGTTCTTTTTCTTTTCTTTTTTTGTTGTTCAATACTTCAATGGAACTATGGAAACTGTTAAATTATAGACGTTGTTCCATGGTTTGAATTTTCTGTATTTTAAAATTTTGCATGAATAATTATCAATATTATTATTTTGTTTGCTTAAGGTGTCAATTATAATATGGAAATTGTTCCATACTTCAGATTTATCGTATTTGCAAGTTTTTCTTGTTTTACTATGAATATGTGATTTTATTTTATTTTTTGGGTATTTTGGTTATTCCATTATTTGCATTGGAAAAACAGTTCATTATGGATTAATTTAAATTTGAATTCGAAATGAATGCGTTCGGGAGAATTTAGGTGTGTCACCAATAAGTGATAAGATGAGGGAGAGTAGACTTAGGTGGGCGGGCCATGTGTAGCGCCGACCAAGTAAAACACCTGTTAAAAGGTGCGAGTTAGTTCAAGCAGTAGGACTGAAAAGTCAAGGGGTACGCCCAAAAGGACGTGGATGAAAGTAGAACGAAAAGATATGGGGACTATATGAGGGCTTATGGCCTCATTGAGGGTATAACTTTTAATAGAGCAGAAAGGCGGACTAGGATTCGTATAGCTAACCCCAATTAATTGGGAAAAATCTATGATGATGATGATGATGATGATGGAATAATTTAATTTTGCATTCTTTGAGCGTAATTTATGACTTTATGCAACATAATAACAAACACAGTCATCCTTCTTCTATTGAATAGAGAAGTCTTGAGATTAAGTTGAAGCTCAAGATAATTTGTGACCTTTTTAAAGAGCCCAATCAAAAGATATGGTACAGTTTATCACCACCAAAAATTATGTGTATAAACAAAACTGCAACTAATATATTAAATTATACTTAAAAGTGATCTCATATATTATATAATACTTAAAACAATTAAAAGGGTTAACTAACCATGCAAAATAGCCATTGCTTAGCTTTAAATTGAAGATCAAGGAACGAACTTGTGACCTATTAAAGAGGGCATGTGGGACAGTAGAGTCTACTACTAAGGTAATCTTGAGCACATGCTAGTGGAATCTCGGTTTAATTTACCAATGAAACCTCTAATATGATACAAAGGAACTTAGATCCCATGTAACTTGGGATCTAAATAACTAATAGGAAGGATTGAGATACCAAAGTTAAAAACTAGCAATGCAATATATCCATGTCCCAGAGCACAGGAGTGAGCTTCTAGAACTGGATTGACCCCTTGGTTAGGAGATCACTAAAAATCACCTTTATGTAGTACATAGCTTTAGATTTTCTCTGTTTTTTCCCTAAATGATAGAATAAGATGGAGTATTGAACTGAAGACACGTGGTCTGCTCAAGAGCAATGCTGTAGCAAGGACTTGGGCTCTCACTCATAGGGTCCCGAATCCTAATCATCCACCGAATCAGTCAAAGGTCCAACTCAGCCGAATCTCTGGTAAATAACATTGGGGGCTAGAAGCCCAGAAGACCCGCCTGATTTTTGGGCTTTTGCATCCAAAGCCGGCACAATGCCTTAAGTGCATGACTTATCTTCACAAACTGGTATCAATTATGGAAATTGATTCTATTAGTATGAACATAGAAAACTTGTAGTCATTTCATCATGCTACAACAATGATTGATGGGTAATGGAAAGGTATTGGAACCTATCATTAGGGTAGGGTCATGCCACTCCATCATTATATACCCACTATTTGGATGATGCTGAAGACAATTATGACCCCAAATAGTCTATGATCATATAGTGTAGTACACTTTCCTTTAATTGAGATGATTGGCACCAATTAGTTAGTTTTGCAATGATATCATAGTAGCAAAGAGCTCTATACCAACCAGCATGGGTGCATGGCCATAGTCAGATATGCATCAATTGCAGTCCCAATAAGTATGCTATTTCCATTATATACGAATTGAGTTATCAGAAGAAAGAGAAGAGAACAAATCATCAATTGGTCATCTTTAAAAGGAGGGGAGTTCTTAGTGGCATCTTCTAACAAAAGTGAATTTCTTCTATAATACCTAGACTGAGTTTCTTCTAACATACTTAAACTAACATTGAAAGGTACTTTATTTATCATTATCTATTGTCTCACTTTCCAAAGAGTGATGAGGAAAGCACATATGTGACACTGAAGGATCTCAGTGTCCCATATTGTCAGTTATTGCAGAGATTAAACTTACATTTACAATTATGCCCAAGGATCTCAGTGTCCCATATTGTCAGTTATTGCAGAGATTAAACTTACATTTACAATTATGCCCAAGGATCTCAGTGTCCCATATTGTCAGTTATTGCAGAGATTAAACTTACATTTACAATTATGCCCAAGGATCTCAGTGTCCCATATTGTCAGTTATTGCAGAGATTAAACTTACATTAACAATTATGCCCAACTTGGGATCATAATATTCAAGAAAGCCATGGTAGGTTTAGTTGAAGAAATGCCTGAAGTACCACACTCTCGTTGTTCCACACAATTGATCTATGCAACTTGACGCAATACAGTTAGCTGTCTACCTAGAGGAGACATGCCTTTGAAAACCATAATAACTCAACTATCAAGATCAGAAGAAATTGGAGACTTTAATAAAGCAGAAGGAATAATGCTAAACAAAGGGAATATCCACAAGCGGCATGAAGTAGCACTAGATCAAAAAATCATTGAATTTATGGCAATTTCATAATCCGTATGGTGGCAAAAAGACATTTTCTTTGTGATATCTTACCACTATATTTGTCATGCCTGGATCTAAAAGAGGCGCAATGTTCTTTCAATTGCCTTTGACTCTCATCAACAACGGTTGTCTCCAAATCAACCTTTTCCGTCTACATGATGCCAAATAGAAGTAACAGGTATTAGAAAAAGGTTAAGAACTTTCAAAACAAGACAGTACATCCAAGTAAACCACAGACATATTGACAGTTTAAAAACATGAAATTAACCAAATAAAGTGCAGTATAAAGCTCCAGGAAGTTGAAGTTGGCCTATGTGGAGTAAGGCTCAAATGGCATTGCCATAAGAGCTCTGGAAGTCGAAGAGATAAAGTGTATGGAATTTTCAAGTATATTATCTCAAGTTTTTGGAGATCTTTCTTAAGAATATTAATAAAGTATAAGGAGAAGAAAGTTTTTAATAACTGGAACTTAGATTAGCTTACTTCTCCAAAACAGGTGAAGTCCCAGCAGTTCAGTTTACTTTGGATAAAAGCTATTCCAGTTAGGCAATCTCTATGCTGGGCAGAGACAGCATTTAATAACTCCAAAGTTTTCATTTTTCATTGTATCTCCACCTTATATGATTCCCAATATACAAGATTGGCCTTAGATAAATCAAAAGCTTATTTATATGCTCAGCGAACTAAATGAAGTATATAAGCCTCTGCAAATGTTTTGCACTGCCATTCTGATTAAATGAAAAGAATAGCCACTAAATCGTACATTTCATGTTATTGTAGCAATTTTGAGAATAATCAATCTGCAATGCCTCACAAATGAACATGCACAATAGCTATCAAATACTTATCCAACACTAGTAAAAAGCTGGAATATCTATCCTTAGGGTGGTACCCATCGTCCATAAAATTATAGGTTTTGAAAGAACTTGTGCAAGAATGCAATTAACATTAACCAAACATATTTCTGGTCTATGAACTCGAGAAATCGAAACTAAAACCTGAAAGCACAGGTCAAATTTCAAACGAACCATGCTGGACTAATCCATAGTTACATTTTCCAACTCTGGAAGGTCTACCTGATATGCCCCATTCAATTCTGTCACGCACCATAAGCCCAAATCTTCCTCTCTGCTTTCACCTCCCAACAATTCAAAAGAGCGAGATTGAGCACTCAACATCAATAATTAGAAGATTCTCAGTGACAAACACCATAATTGTTCATTACCATAATTGTTCATTATCTTCTTTCTTATAATCAATAAAATGTTCTGAAATGCAAAGTTTGAAGACAAATAGAAACATGAAAGTATGGAACTTCCAAATACCAAGATTGCTCCCTTTCCACTTTTGCCATGCTATATACCACGAAATTGGCTCCCATAGCTAGATGTCATGATTAGCATTCAGAATGCTGAAATTACAGGTCTTTCATTTCAGCAAAGTTTACATCTAATCTCCATGGATTGGCAGAGCTTCATTTGAGCCATTTAACAGTTCCTAATGAATCACCTTTCACAATGGTTAGTTGCTCGAAATCATGGGTCAAACACATACAAACTTCCAAGACCCATGAGGCATTTTAAGGGATAAGGAATCTTGGGTCAAAAGACATACAAACTTCCTCATGTTCTCTTCTGATTGCGTCCAATGAGACACCCACCATATTCAAAGTGCCTTCCATAAGCAGCAAATTAGTGGACCGGCTAACAGTATCCCCCTTTTAACGAGAACCATGACTTCATTCCGGTCTTTAGCATTTTTTTTGGAATTCACGAAGTTCAAAGTTCTGCAAAGAATTTTAAGCAAGTGTGCAGTCATAATAACAATTCCATTATTCCACATGCTGACATCCATTCTTCAACACATTTCTAATAACTTTAACAATCTAAGACATCCCGAGCAGGGCAAGACAAGGACCCTATTTTTCATATGAAACTTCCACATAAAAGGAGGTGGTCCATTTTCTCTTCTATGTCAGCAAGGAACACAGAAATTAGGAAGCTAAACATTTTAATTCTGCACGAGCACTGAATTTAACTTTTGGCTAAAAGAATGCAGACATTTGAGAAACTTGCTACTTCCAGAATCTCACAGAATAGAATGCATTATCACCAACCCACAAACTTATCCATTTCATCATCATAATCATCAGATACCAGTGCGTCCCTCAAGATGCACTAGTATCTTAGATGGGTGGAAAACATTACTAGATGATCATACATTTTTTGGTTGCATAGTGATGAATGATAACAGGTTTGCACCACTATGCTTGTAGGAAAGAAATTAGTGATGGGATGAGAGAATGATGGAAAGAAGGAGGTATATCTATTGCCTGGAAGATGAATAACCCATCTTTTTGTTTGATAACCACTTGAAAGATGGCCAAGGATCAGGCTGTCTCCTTGGGCATCCTGGTAGGTTCCAAGTTTAGTTGCAAGAAATTTGTGCCGAGACGATTTTCCCACTTACAAAGCTAACATTTCCAAGGCCACTACAAGGCATTTCCTCAAAATTATCTCTCTGGCTTCTTCACTTCCCAATACAACAAATATTCACCAGAAGTTATGATCAAGGTTGGAAAACTAGCTCGCCTAGGCCGCCGCCAAGTCAGGCACCTAGAGATATGGGTGCCCAAGTGTCAAAAAAAAAAAAAAGGGTTTGGTGAAATACCAAACCCCCCAGATATGAGTTAAAATGCCTAATTAAAAAATAAAAAAAATAAATAATAAAAATAAATAAAAAGAAAAAAGAAAAAAAAAGAAAAGAAAGAAACCAAACATTAAAACCATACATTCATAAATCACAAATTGTATCAAATACTAACACTAAAGAATATCATATATAGAAAATCACTAGTTCACCACAACTCATAGATTGATAAAAATCTTAAAGTTTCAAGTCTTTATACATAAAGCATCCAATGTTTCAAACAAGCATGATGAACTCATAAAGGAAACTGAGTTTCATTGATCATCATCGCTAGCTATATCAAGGTCCCTTCCACCATTAGATGCATCTGAAGCTGATGATGACCCAGGCCATCATCATCGGAGTCAACCCCTTCCTCCAAAGATGAAATAAATCACAAATATCACAAACAAAAAAGAAACAAATAATATGTATAAATATCTTAAAAGAAATATTAATTGCTCATAAAACCATAATCTAAAACTTGAAAATCTCTAACCCCTAAAATAGAATCCTTCAAGCTTTTAAAGGATGAGCTTTGGTTGCTGAAAACCTCTTCTCACAACCACTTCAAGCCCCAAAACGATTGGGCACAAATGCCTTTCAATTTCATAAGAAATTGAAAATTTTGGATTTACATTCAATCTTGGATCTCTCACAAGAAATCCGAATTTGAGCATGTTTTTGTCTTGAAATTGGTTCTCCAAGGGTTTCAGAGGGTTAAAATGACTCCCCATGGTCTTAATACAAAGATTTGAGGGGCAAAAAGACCAAAACTCCCCCTACCCAAGGGGCATTTTCGCCTCTCTCTCTCTCTCTCTCTCCTCTCTCTCTCTCTCTCTCTCTCTCTCTACTCGTACGTACGTCGTACGTACGTACGTACGTACGTACGTACGTACGTACGTACGTACGTACGTACCGTA